CGAACTTGGGAACCTTACAAACCTGAATACTCTTAACCTTGGTTTTAACAATTTGAGAATCAAGAATTTTGATTGTCTTTCTCATCTTTCTTTGTTATCACATCTTGATTTGAGTTATAAATCAAACTAGCTGGTTGCACCACATAACAAGGTTTCCTTTCCTTGAGAAATTGTACTTGATGAGCTGTCAACTTCCCAACCCAGTGCTTTCCTATGATAGCTTTACTAATTCTTCTTTATCCCAACTATCTATCCTCGATCTAAGCTCCAATTATCTCACTTCCTCTTCCACATTCCGCTGGATGTTTAACATTAGTACAAGTCTTAGAAGAATTGACCTCTAGTCTAATCAATTAGAGGGTCCTATTCCTGATTCCTTTGGGGAATTGTTTTTTCTTGCAACGCTCTATTTGAATGACAATAAGTTGCACGGTGGGATTCCAAGCTCTTTGCGTAATTTATCTGCACTAGATATATCATCCAATGAATTAAATGGTCTCTTGCCAGATAATACCACTTTTTCATCCTTGGCACTTTTGAACCTTGCTAACAATAAGTTGAATGCATTTCACACACAATGCCTTGGGCAACCTTTAGTTCTTTATTATTTAGATTTATCTTACAATCAATTAAAAAGGCTGCCTGAAGGTATTGAGAAACTTCACCATCTCAACCTTTTAGGAATGTCTTCAAATTTGTTGGAAGATACAATCACCGAAAGTTACCTCTCAAACTTTGCCAACTTAAAATTCCTTGATTTATCCTTGAACTCATTGACTTTCAATTTGAGCTCAGATTGGACTCCTCCTTTTCAATTGCAATCACTAGAGCTCAGCCATTGTCATTTGGGCCCTCATTTTCCAAATTGGATTCAAACTCAGAATACTCTTCGTTGGCTTGATATATCTTTTGCTGGTATATCAGATGCAATACCCAATTGGTTGTGGAATATGTCTATATTAGTATTAGATCTTTCTCATAACAATATTAGGGGTAAAATTCCTAATTTGTCCTCACAGTCGACTCTTCATTTTGTTATAGATTTAAGCTACAATAACATTTCAGGTCCAATTCCATCATTTATTTTTTCTTATGAACAAATAAATCTTTCCAAAAATATGTTTTCGGGATCCATTTTTCACTTATGCACAATTCCTAAGGGCTCCATCATCTACGTGCTTGATCTCTCGGATAACCAATTGGCAGGAGAGCTTCCTAATTGCTGGATGAACATAAGTGAATTAATTGTTCTGGATTTGGCAAATAATAA